GAATTATCTTGACACCTTTGTAAAAAATCAAATGACCATAGATGTATTGGTTTATTTCTAGACTTTGAATTCTATTCCATTGTTCTATATTTCTGTCCTATGACAATATCACACTATCTCAATTACTGTACCTTTGTTGTAAGTTTTGAAATTGGGAAGTGTTAGCCCTCCATCTTTGGCTGTTCCCCCCGCCCCCAAGATTGTTATGGCTACTCTAGGCTCCTTGAATTTCTATATGAATTTTTATCTTCGTTTTTTTTATAAGTTTTTATATGTATATATATAATCCATATCACAGTCTACAGGTATTGACATTTTAATTGACATTTTACCAGCTTGAGGGAAGGGTTGAAACTCTTCCCAGTTATAATGTATTTGTCTTAAAATTTCTTCTGCATACACTGAGAACCACATCACATAGTGTTTTAATTTTTATTTCAACTGTCAAACATAATTTAGAATACCTAAAAGGAGGAAAGTCTATTGTATTTACCGGTATTTTTACTCTTCTGTCCTTTCTTCCTACCTAATATTCCACAATTCCTTATTTTATCATTTTCTCTCCGTTTACAGTTTCAGGGTAGATCTGCTGACAACAGATTCTCTTAGTTTTCCTTTGTCTATAGATGTCTCGATTTCTCTTTCATTTCTGAAGGATATTTTTGCTGGATACAGAATTCTGGGTTGATAGTTCTTTTAGTACTTGAAGAACGTTGTGCTTCTTCCTTCTTGCTTCCCTGGTTTTAAATGTCATTCACATTGTTTTTCCTCTATATGTGTCACTTTTGCTACTTTCAATATTTTTTCTTTTTCTTTTTTATTATAAGTAGTGGGGTGACATTGGTTAATAAAATCATATAGATTTCAAGTGTACAATTCAATAATACATCATATGTATATTTCATTGTGTGTTCACCACCCAAAGTTAAATTTTCTTCTGTCACACAGTGTCTTGGCATGGATTTCTTTGGGTTTATACTGTATGTGTTCACTGAACTTCTTGAATGTGTAGGTTTATATCTTTAGCCATTATTTATTCAAATACTTTCTCAGCCCCACATTCTAACTTCTCTTTTCTGGATCTCTGATGATCTGAATGTTAATATTTTGTTGTAGTCCCAACAAAATATGTAGTTTCATATCCCTGCGTTTATTTTTCTGTCAGGCTATTTCCTCTCTTTTGTTCATATTGGGTACTTACTGTCTGTTCACTGATTCTTTTCTTCATTGTTTCCATATTGTTGTCTATCAGTTATTTATTTCAGGTATAGTATTTTTCAGTCCTAAAATTTCCAGTTGTTTCTTATTTATATCTTCTCTTTTTTTGTTTCAAGCATCTTTGTAATTAATTATTCATTGAAGCAGTTTTATGATGACTTCTTTAATATTCCTGTCATATAATTCTAATATCTTTGTTAACATTATATTGTATAATTCTGGATTTTCTTTTCTGTTGCACAGGTCTGTCTCTTCATATATCAATATCATATTGATTTGGTTACATCGGTTATGTAGAATGTTTAATAGATGGTGATGCAAGTCTCCTCAGCTCCCTACCCATCTGCTTTTTTCTTTTATAGTGTTCTGTTCCCTGGCATAATGCCTTTTCTACATTGGGCATTTAGTAACTGGTGAACTGAATTTCCCTATCAGAAATTGGAGTTGGGTTAATTTACATCTTAGTAGAAATTCCCACAAACTGGTATAATCTACTTAGTTCCACAAGAATTTTTTAAATTTATTTTTTAATTAATTTATTTTTTTAATTGAAGAAATGATTTAAATTTTTTTCCCCCCGTCTATCTATTCCATCCCCTTTCCTCTTACCATCTGGTAACCACTAGTCCATTGTCCATGTCTATCAGTCACTGTTTGTTTGTCCTATTCACTTGTTGCCTTTAGGTTTATATCCCACATATAAGTGATATCATGTGATTTTCAACTTTTTCTGTCTGCTTATTTTCACTTAGTATGATTATTTCGAGGTCCATCCATGTTGTCGCAAATGGCAGTATTTCATCTCTTCTTATGACTAATATTTCATTGTACATATGTACCACTGCTTCTTTAGCCGATCATCTATCGTAGGACAGTTCGATTGCTTCCATGTCTTGGCCACTGGGAATAATGCTGCTATGAGCATCGGTGTGCACATATCTTTTCAGATATGCGTTTCCAAGTCTTTGGGGTAAATACCGAGTAGAGGGATTGCTGGATCATATGGTAGATCAGTTCTTAGTTTTTTGAGGGACCTCCAAACTGTTTTCCATAGTGGCTGTACCAATTTGCAGTCCCACCAGCAGTGTATGAGGGTTCCTTTTTGTGCACATCCTCTCCAGCATCTGTTATTACTTGTCCTGTTGATTACAGCTATTCTAACAGGTTTGAGATGGTATCTTATTGTGGTTTTGATTTGCATTTCCCTAATAGCTAATGATGTCGAGCATCTTTAACATCTTTTCATATATTTGTTGGCCATTTATATGTCCTCTGGGGAGAAGAGTCTGTTTAGGTCCTCTGCCCATTTTTTGATTGGATCATTTGTTTTTTCTATTGTTATTGAGTTGTATGAATTCTTCGTATATTTTGGATATTAGGCCCTTATTGGAGGCATTGCTTACAAATGTATTTCCCATTCTGATGGTTCTCTCTTTACTTTGTTGACAGTTTCTTTTGCTGAGCAGAAGTTTTTTAGTTTGATGTAGTCCCATTCATTTATTTTAGTTTTTGCTTCTCTTGCCTTTGAGGTCAAATTCCTAAAATCCTCTTTAAGTTCAAGGTTCTTGAGTTTCGTTCCTATGTTTTCTTCTCTGCATTTTATTGTTTCAGGTCTTATATTCAGGTCCTTAATGCATTTCGAGTTAATTTTGGCGAGTTCCACAAGAATTGTCTACTCTCTACCCTAGCATTGGGCCAGGTGCTAGGGACAAAAGGTCAATAGGCCATTTACTTATAATGTTCTAATTGCCACAGTCGAGGTATTTACCAGAAGTTTTGGGAGCACAGAGAAGAGCACTTGGTCTAGTTAGAGGTTTGTAGAAATCTCAGAAGAGTGACACCTGAAAGGTAAGTAGGGATTGACCAAGGAACGAAAGGCAGGAAAGACATCTCAAACATAGGTAAAGGCATAAGCAAAGAAAGCAAAGCTGTGTGAAGCAGTTTATGGATATTGAACCCTAATGATCAAGGGCTGAGAGCAGATAAAGCTGAAAAGGTAGGCAGGCTAAACTTACCCTGGAGGTGACTGGGACCATTAACAGTTTTATTTAATTTCTAATGAAATATTTCAGATGTACCAAAAGATATAAAGAATAATGTAACGAACATTTATGTGTTCATAACTTACCTAAAAATATAAAATATTCCAAATATATTTGAAGCCTCCTGTATACCTTTCCTTAGTTACATTCCCATTTTTCCCTCTCAGAGCTAGCCATTGTTCTGAAGTTGATGATTACCATTCTCATGCATTTTTATCCCTTTATTATATAGGATGCGTTATTAAGCAATATATAATATTGTTTTACATATTTTTCAATGTTATATAAATGGAATCATCATATTAGGGATATATTCTTCTCAACTTACTTTTTTCTCTGAACATTATGATTGTAAGATCCATGTTGATGCACGTAGTTGTAGTTCATTCATTTTACTTAATTTCCGGTATTCCATTGTATGAGTAACTGGCAGTTTACCCATTCTCCTGTAAACGGACGTTTCATTGAAGGGTTTCGAGCAGGGGATGACATGGGCAGATTTGTATTTTATATATATATCACTTTTGGGTTGGGATGTGGAAGATAGATTTCAGAGGTCGAGATAGGTATAGAGCTGTGGTTTGCAACCAAACACTTTGGACTCAGGACCCCTTTATTATTAAATATTATTAAGGACTCAAAAGAGTTTTTAGTTTTTTATTTGTATTTATTAATATTTACCATGTTATAAATTAAAATTGAGAAATTTTAAAAATATTTATTAATCCATTGAGAAATAACAATAATGAACTCATTACATACTAGTGTAAGTAACAATTTTTATGAAAAATAACTTTAAAATCACAATTTAGTGAGAAGATTGACATTTACATTTTTGCAAATCTTTTTAATGTCTGGGTTAATAGAAAACAACTGGATTCTCAGATCTGCTTCTGTATTTGTGTTATCACTTCATGTCCTTTCTGGAAAATTCCACTCTACACCTATGAGAGAATGAGGGTGAAAAAGACAAATAACATCTTAATATTTTCATGAACATAGTTTTGACCTCAGATATGCTCTGAAAGAGTCTCAGGGACACCCAGGATTCTCTGGACCACACCTTGAAAACTGCTGGTGTAGAGGTGCCAGTTTGGAGGCTGTTGTAAGTAGCCTAGGTGAGAGCCAATGAGGAGTTTGACCAAAGCATTGGTAGGATGGACGGAAGGAGAAGGGGAGGTGATATGAGAGAGACTTAAGAAGAAAAATCAGAAGGTCCCAAAAGGCAGTATAGGGTTAAAGGCAAGGAGATTAGAGTTCTAACTTAGCTGCATGTTTCACAACCAACCTGTAAGTAAATATTTAGCTAGGAAATGGCGGAATTTTAACCAAGATCTGTCCAACACAGAAACTCTATGTTTTATCTAGGGTGGAGTTAGAAAGGGTAATCATGCAAGGAGGTGATGATGTTTTTAGAGAGGAGAGAGGATGGGTAAGGCAACAGAGAGATTTTGAAGTGGAGAGGAGGGAAGTAGGAGTTTATTAACCCCATAAGTTGGTCCAGTTCAGGGTTATAATGATGGCAGACTTGGCCAGAATGGGTATTGGGAAAATGGAGGAACCTAGAATGTTCTGAATCAGAGAAACTTAGAATGTTCTGAGTCACTGCCAGGCTGGCTGCTCTAAGGAGTTGTGTTTGAGCTGAGTGGGCAGTGGAGATGTCCAAAGGAAGAAAAACCCTTTTCTAGGTCTGACTTTGCCTTGTTACTGCAGGATGGATCCATGCTGTGCTGACCCCCGTGGACTGCCTTGCCTTTGGAGGGAACTTCTTACACAGCCTTAACATTGAAATGCAGCTCAAGTGAGTCCTGAGGCTATAGTGTTTCTGAGTTGGCCATTTCCATCTGCTAGAGTCCTTGTGTTCTCCTGTATAGTGAGGAGTACAGCATAGAGGGAGGCAGGACAATCAGAAAGAAATAGATACGTTAATTCCTGGTGATATTCAGTCCGAAAATGAATACCTCTTCTTCACTTACTAGTTGTGACTTTGGGCAAGTCACATAACCTTTGAGCCCAAGTTTCCAAACCCATAAAGTAGGGTCTTACAGGGTAGTTGTGAGGATTAGAGATAATGGATATAAAGCATCCAGAACAATACCTGATAATAGTAGGTTCTCAGTAAATGGGATCCTTCTTATCCTTATTGTTGTACCTTCTTCCTCCAGAGCCTATGAGATTGAAAAGCGGCTGAGCACAGCAGACCTCTTCAAGTTCCCCAACTTTGAGACCATCTGTTGGTATGTGGGAAAGCACATCCTAGACATCTTTCGAGGTATGAAGCCCTTTGCCAAGTGTCCCTTTTACCTTGATCCCCTGAACATGTGTACATGCACATGTACACACATAATCATCACCTCAATCAAAATACAGTACTAGTCCGTCACCACGGAGATCTCCCTAGTGCTCCCCATGAGAGTCTCACCCACTCTCCTCCCTGCACTATCCATAACTTCTGGAAACCACTGATCTGTTTTCCATCTCTAATTTTGTCATTTCGAGAAAGCTTTAAAACTGGAATCATACAGCATGTGCTCTTTTGTGATTGCCTTTTTTACTAAGCATAATGTACAGTAGAGCATGGATTTCACCTTTTTAATTTAGCAAAGGTGGCTGAGAAAGTTGGATCACAGTGAAATTATTCCTGTTTCCTACCAATTAAAATAAGAAACTTATTCTGGATAGTCTCAGAGTTTCCTGGATGTGCTTCCCATGGGGACAAGGCTCAGTCTTGACCATTGTGGCATCATTGTGTTGGTTCTGAGTATCAGTCCAGGTGAAAGCTAACCTTCCAGGTCTCTTGTCTGCTCAGACCTGAGATTCTTCAAGGTGACTTGGCCAGAAGGAATCAATATCTCAAAGTTGCAAAGAACCTCAGAGGCCAATGAGTACAGTCTCCTACCTAATACCTCAAACCCTTATTCTTTTTCCTAGACAGACTGTTGTTTAAGTGTTCAATAAGAGGATAAATGACTAACCGCTTATTACCTGTTCTGAACAGCTCAGTTCAGTAGAAAATTCTTTATTGAGCCTAAATCTGGCTGTTTGTCATAACCTCCTCCTGGAGTAACTTAGAACAGGGGCTTTAATGGCCCTTTATGATCTGTGTAGTTGGCAATTGTGGTCCTCCTGAGTGTTGCATTTTGAACCCAAGAGGCAAAGTAGTGTGATGGGAAGAGCACACGCCTTAGATTCAGATAGACATGGTTTCAGTCGGCTTTGGCACTTTACTAGGTGTGTGCTCTTGGTTGAGTCTCTCTGCCTCTCTGAGCCTCAGTTTCCCGAACTATAACATGAAAATAATGATACCTAGCTTACAGGGAGGGGTATAAGGATCAAATGAGATAGTATATGTCAAATGCCTGGGATATAGTAGGTACTCATTACATGAATACTATTATAAGGACTGAGATCTGAAGTTGCATTTAGAACCTTGAGCATTTTCTCTGGTCGCCTGAAAAAAAATAGCAAGTCCTTCACTTCCTGACATGGTTTCGCTGACACTCTGCCTTCCTCTTTCACCCTTTAGGTTTGCGAGAGAACAGGAGACATCCTGCCTCCTACCTGGTTCATGGTGGCAAAGCCCTGAACTTGGCTTTTAGAGCATGGACAAGGAAAGAAGTAAATATGCTAATTTCTTTACCTCCTCTCAAGTTATGCCTTTTCTGGCTTTGGATAGATGGTTTTGGGGAGGCGGAAGAGATCAGGGAGGCTTGTGGGTTCCTGGCATTAGAGTGGAAGACTAGGCTAGGACTTCTTGGATTATGCTTCAAACTTTCTTTCTGATTATAAAAGTAATACATGCTTTCTCTAGAGAATTAGAAAAATGCAGAAGATTGTAAAGAAGGAAAAACATCACCTATAATTTTTAACACTCAGGGAATTAACATTAACGTTTGGGTATATTTTCTTCTGGTCTTTCTTATATGCATTTAAAGAACATAATTGCTGTCACCCCGTACATATGCTTTTTTTAAATCTGAATTGGTTGATTTATCTTAATTTTTCTGTGTCACCAAAGTTCTCCATAAACATTTAGTAGTTACATCTTTTGCAGTGATGTACCATCCTTACATAATTACTTGTTTATCATTGCTTCCTTTTTATTTATTTATTTTGGGTTAGTTATAGAAAATCATGCAGTGACTGTCTACATCAGTCTTTGTCCCTCATCTCTTGATTGTTTCTTCAGGATAGATTCCTAGAAGAGCAATTACTGGATTAAATTAGTATATGAAAAAATGTAAGACTCTAGATACATACTGCCAAAATGGCTTTTTAGAAATAATATCAATATCTATTTATCCAGTTGAATACTAAAGAGCTATAAAAGAGATTAAAAAACTCTCTATGTACCGATTTGGCAAGATCTCCAGAATTCGTTAAGCATAGGTGTAGAACCATGTGTATAGTATGCTACCTTATGTGTAAAAAGGGGAAAAACAAGAATTATATTTGTATGTGCTTGTATTTGCCTGAAGACACAATCTGGAGGGATGCAAGAAACTGATAAAAGTGGTTACCTATGGGGGAGGCCTAATGGGCCTAATGGCAGGGACAGGTATATATTGAGGCTTTTATATATGTGTATGTGTGTGTATGTGTGTATATATGTGTGTATATATATACATACATACATACATACATATATATCTTTTTATATTGTTTGAGTTTTGAACTACGTGAATGGATTACCTACCCAATTGAAATTTTCTTAATTTTAAAAAATACAAAAAAATAGAAGTATCAATGTATTCTTATGCTTCTGATACTCTTTATAGACTTCTTCCCCTGCATACAGTGGCCTAAGGAGACCTTTCAGCCACTGCAGGCTTGACTTGCGCATTCTCCCCATTTCCTGTTGCCAGCCTTCCCCTCAGATATCCTTGGACTACTAGTTTTGTGCCTTCTCTTGCTCCCTAGACTCACCTACACCTGGACCTTATCCTGTGATTTTGTTTCCTTACACCCCTCAGGTGTGGCTACCTTGAGTTTTATCTCTGACCCCCCACATGAAGTAAACATCAGAGTGACTCTGTCTCTCAGGAGCACCAAAAGGGAGGGTAGTGGGTGGGTCCTAAGCACTCATGCCCTGGGCCAGGATGGCTCCAAGGACGAAGGGATGGCCCCAAACAGTGTGGCCAGAGGGAGCTGGAGGAGAGTAGGACACAGTTCCGAGGAGCCCGCGCTTATGGAGGAAATCTTTTGTGAAGTGCAGACAGCTTCATGGGAGCCACTTGCTCCCTCACCTTTCCAGAGCCCCTGGGTTGGTAGGAGGGAGTTGTTAAGGTTATTCAGCTGGGTCACATGGATTCTAGGTCCCCAACCCTGCCCAGACACCAAATTAAATTCCAGATGGATTAAAAGAGTTAAAGAAAGAAATGAATCAAACCATGAGAAACAAGAAGTAAATGCTGAGGAATTTTTATCCTGTGGATACAGAAGTGAAGTGAAAACTGGTAGAAGAAATCACAGAGGAAAAGCTTGAGAGATCTGTCAACATAAACGTGTAAATTTCGAGGACTCAAAAAGATTGCAAACAAAAGAGAGGCAACCAACAGATCTCTCCCTGAATTGCTGTTGAGCTAGCTGTGAGCCGCTACATGCTCAGCACTGTTTCTGTCCTCATAAGTGTAGAGGCTGGGATGTCCCCAGGGATCTCCCTGAGGTCCTTAACTTTTTGAAGGGTGTGGCTCAAGCCCTCAACTGGGCTCCTCACACCTTTTGACACTATCCTTTATCAGATATATGTTTTGCAAATGTGTATTTCAAGTCTGTGGTTTGTCTTAACAATGTTTTCCTAAGACAAGTTTTTTTTATTTTTTAAGTCTAATTTATTGGATTTTTCCTTTTATGGTTCATACTTTATTATTAAATTTATTAGGGTGATATTGGCATAATGAATTTTATAGGTTTCAAGTGTACAATTCAATAATATGTCTGTTACATTGTGTATTCACCACCCAAAGTCAAATCTCCTTCTGTCACCATATATTCGACTTCCCCTTATTCTTATCTACCTCCCCTCTACCCCTTTTCCCTCTGGTAACCACTAAACTGTGGTCTCTGTGAGTTTTTGTTTGTCTTGTTTGTTGCTTTCAGTTTTATATCCCACATGTAAGTGAAATCATATGGTTCTCAACTTTTTCTGTCTGACTTATTTTGCTTTTTGTGTCCGAAGAAATCTTTGCCTAACCCAAGGTCACAAAGATTTTCTCCTCTGCTTTCTTCCAAATGGTTTTAGATTTTACATGTAGTTCAGTAAATGCATTTTGAGTTTGTGTGTGTGTCTGTGGGTATGGTGCAAGATATGGATCGAAGTTCTTTTTTTGTGCATGTATATCTAATTGGCCCAGTACCATTTATTAAAGAGACTATCCTTTCTCCATTGAATTGCCTTGGTACCTTTATGTGTTGGGTCTATTCCTCATACCTTTTGTTTGACAGGCTCTGCCAGACCACGAGGATGAGATCCCGGAGACAGTGCGGACTGTTCAGCTCATTAAAGATCTGGCTAGGGAGATCCGCCTGGTGGAAGTAAGAAGCAGGGGAGCAGGGGAGGCGTTTGGGAAGGGCTTGAGGCTCAGGTGGAAGGTCAGGCCTCTGCAGTTGGCATAAGAGCTTAGGGGAAGGGTTGGGAAGACCCCATCAAGGACTCTATTTATTCATGTATTCATTCATTCAAATAATTACATTAGGTGCCTCAAGTGTGCCACCATTGGGCTAGGTGCTTAGAATGCATAATAAAATGCCCACAAAGAACTCATAATCGAGGAGAGGGCAAAGTTAACCTTTGAGCCTCTGTTTCCTCATCTCTAAAGGGAGGATAATTATACTCAGGGGTTGTTAAAAGGATTAAATAAGGTAATACAGATTGAGCATTAAGTATATATAATGTGTGGCACACAATAGTTGCTCAGTAAATTCTGATGGTGGGTCATCGTGGTGGGTGGTGGAGGTCATGGTAGTTGTTGTTGTTATTAATATTTTGACTCAGTCTCTGCATTCTACAAAATGACAGTTCTCCTGGGTCGAAGATGATTACAAAGCCATGTTTCAACAGGTGGCATATACCACGAGGCAGTAAGGTGTAGTGGTAAGAGACTCAGAGTAACTTGGGTTCTGGTTCCTGCTCTGTCACTTGCAAGCCTTTCAGAGCCTCAGTATCCTTATCTGTAAAGTGGGGATAACACCACTTTTTCAGAGTTTTGTTATGATTAAGAGCCCCTCGCACAGTGCCTGGCAGAGTAAGTACTCAATAAATGTGAGCTATTGTTATTAATAGATTTTGCAGCAAAGAGAGAACTTAGTGTGGGCTGGTGAAGTAGCAGAGGCACCAGAGGAGAATTGGTCTGAAGGAAGTTTAAACTTTCCTTTAGCTTAGAAGCTATAAAGTTATATTTAGCATTCAGGATATAAGCAATAAATCCATGATGAAGGGTAGTCAGAGTGAGCTACTAGGAAGTTGGGCTTCTAGCCTCACTGCTTGCAGCATGTTTCACTGCCTGCAGCATAGCTTACATTGTCCACCTCCTATCTCATTTTCCTCCACTCCCATCTGTCAGAATCCTTTAGGTTTATAGTTAAAAGGCCTACCCTTTTTCCAGCTCTTCCAACTTAAACCAATTTTGTATACATAGAACTTTGGGCTGGTTGGAAGAGGGTTTAGAGGTAGATCACATCTGGTCCATTGGCTTTCAGATATTTTAAAGCAATGGAATCCTTTTATTTTCAAATGAGATTTTACGTGGAAGTCCAGTATATACATATAACCAATCAAAGCATAGCTGCTATGAATAAGATGAAGGTGAGAGGCTTAGAGCTCCACTTGTTCCTCTTGTTTGCCTTCCACCTCCCTCTAGTCCCCAGGGCTCCCAACAAGTTCAAAGGAGCCACAGAGCATCTTTGAAAACCACCTTTCCAGTCTAATCCTTTAATTTTACACCTGAACAAACAGAACTCCAGAGTGTTCAGATCACTTACCTGAGGCCACAGAGGTAGCTAGTAGCAGAATTAGGTCTAGAACCTCTCTTCTATCAAATCCTTCAGTCCTTAAAGTTGGAACCACACAGTTTAGTACTGAATTATTTTCTGTCTCATGTCAGCTGCTCTTGGAATCTTTTCTCTCCAGTTTTGACAGTAATGCTGGGTTTTTCCTCTGCTCGTCTTCTCCTTACTCGTCAGTGGCTGGGTAAAGAAATGCCACCCAGTGAATTCTTGATGATTCATTGTGCAAAAACTAGGGTGTGCATATATGGAGCATCTGTAAGCCACTTACATGGCAGTACTGCCAGTGCCATGAACAGACCTCTGCTCTTAGAGAGAGAACCCTTGAGTAAGCTCTAACTCCCTCATGTACTAATACTCTTGTAGGATATCTTCCAACAGAACGTTGGGAAGACGAGCAATATCTTTGGGCTGCAGAGGATCTTCCCAGCTGGCTCCATTCCCTTAACCAGGCCAGCCCATTCCACTTCAGTATCCATGTCCAGGCTGTCACTGCCCTCCAAAAGTGGTTCAAAGAAGAAAGGCCTGAAGCCCAAGGAACTCTTCAAGAAAGCAGAGCGAAAGGGCAAGGAGAGCTCAGCCTTGGGGCCTGCTGGCCAATTGAGCTATAATCTCATGGACATATACAATCATCAGGCACTGAAGACAGGCTCTTCCCAGAAAGCAAAGGTGGGTGCTGGCCCATGGGTTCAGCCCAACCCTTTTGGGTCCCTTGGAAGAGCAGGGTATCAGAAGAACAGGCTATCCGGTTCTCCCACCTCCTTTAGGGCCCCTGTTGTTTGGCTACCAGTCCCACTCATTTAACAGGCATTTATTGAGACCTTGTCTATGCTGGGCACTGTGATAGGTGCTATAGATGTAACCCTCAAGAGGCCGACAGGCTAGTGAGAAAGGTAGGCATAAAAACAAATGAGTGCAATGAAGTGTTGTGGATGCCACAATCAAGGGTGTATGGGACCCTGAGACACAGAGGGGGATGATTCTATCTATCTAGGGGGAATGGTCAGGAGCTCTTCTCAGAAAAGATGACACGAACTGACTCTCGAAATGCTGGAATGTGAATGACATTTGAGAACGTACTATATGAGTGTCAGATTGGAGTCTTGAACAGGTTCTTGAGAAAAGCCCTCCTCCAGGGCTCTACCTTGCTTCAAGATTGTGGTACCCTTCATGGGCATGTAAAGATGTTCCCCTCTCTTTTTAGGGAACATGTTTTATAAAATTAATAGGTTCCCCTTGAGCTAGCCATGCATTCTCAACCTCCTGTTCCTATGATCATTTGGGTTGGGGTTGTGGGACAGTGTAGCAGAAGACCTCGCTTGGTTCAGGTGGTTTTGACAGTGAACTCAACCAGTGAATCCAGAGGGAACTGGCTATCCTGATTCACATGGGAGTCCCAGACAGGTGACAACTGAGCCTCCTCCTTCTGCAGTTCAACATCACTGGTACCTGCTTGAATGACTCAGATGATGACTCGCCAGACTTGGACCTTGATGGGAATGAGGGCCCGCTGGCCTTATTGATGTCTAATGGCAGGTGAGGTGGGGAGAAGGAACATTAAGATACTGGGACTGTCGCTGGCAATATGCCACTAATACAAGGCATGGAACTAGGACCTGGGAAAGGAACATGGGTCAGGGAGGGATTGTGCTTCGGGAAATACCCAGATACTATCAGGTATCATTGCTTAGTTCAGAGGGCCATGGAAATGTTTGTGGGTGGGCAGGGGAGAGGTCTGGACTCTAATTGGTAATCCTCAGAAAAGTCTTGTATAAATTCTAGAATTTTCAGCAAGTCAGTGGGTCAGAACCACTGCCAGGTATAAGAGGTAGTATAGCTTGCTGGTTAAGAGCGTTAGTTTTTATGTACCTTTGCTATTCAGTTTTTAGGAATTTATTTTGTAGAAATATTTGCACAGGTGTGTGATGAGAACTATTCGGTGTTCACTGTATCATTGTTTATAATAGTAATTGAAAACATGTTCATCAATAAGGGTTGGATAAATAAATTATGGTACATCTGTAGAATAGAATACCATTCAGCTGTTAAAATGAATGAGTTTAATATCTGTTATGCAGAGATGTCCAAGATATATTCTAAAGTGAAAAAATCAGTTTATAAAATAATATATAGGAATAGTTCCATTTTAATTTTTTAAAAATACATGTGTGCTTGTATAGAAAAGCAACATACAGACTTTTTTTTAATTTAACTTTTTTGAAGAGGTTTCAAATTTAATTTATACAGTTTAAAATTCAAAAAATGTGAAAGAATACATAGTGAAAAATTTTGCTCCCACCTCTCCCTGTTCCCCAGTTCCCCTCCCCATGGACAACCAACATCAATGATTTTCTTCCAGAGATATTTATTCACATTCACGCAAATAAATATACTTTTTATATATTTTATGCTTGTCACACCAAATGTGTAACAGTAGTTATCTCTGGAAAGTAAGATATGGGAGGCAGGAGAGGAAATTTTCACTTCAGTAGCATTTGAATTTTGTACAGGGAGCATGTATTATTTTTCTTAAAATAATTTTTAAGAAAATTATCTAAAAGATAATTTTCTAAAAGAATAAAAGCTGTCATAACAAAAAACATGGACTTGGGAATCGGCCAATCCTGAGTTTGAATCCCAGTTCTGACATGTATTCATATGTAACCATGGTAAGTTAATTAACCTGTCTGTGCCTCAGTGTCCTCATTATATCTCTTATATAGATAAAACTTACCTAGGGTTGTTGGAGTCTTAAATGAGATAATGTATGTGAAGTGCTTATCACAGTGCCTGCCACATAGTAAATGCTTAATTAATGGTAGCTCTTATGACGAAGTTGAAGATGAAAAATAATAGTGGTGGTGGTGGTGATGATGGCGTGGGTGTGGTTAGAAGCTGAGTAGGTCATCAGAAACCCTGAAACATGTAGGAAGGCAGAGGAAGATAGTAAGAGTTATCATCTGGACACTCAGAGCACCAGACAGGAGCAGTCAAGAGCTAAGTACAGAGTATGAACAGAGTGGGAACATAAGCAACAAGAATACCTTAATAGCCTTTTTGTTGGAAAAGGTTGTTTTCAGATCCCAAGGGCAGGTGTAGTAGGCCCACCTGGCTGGGCAATAAGGAAAAAGCAGGGAATGTGAGAGTAGGGCAGATTCTGAAAGCAGCAGTTATTCTTGGGAGTTGAGAACCTAGTTACTAAAGAATAAGATTAGAGAAACTGTTGAGCATTGCCTTTGTCCAGAACCCATGGTCGGTCTCTGGGGAAGAGAAAATTGAGAATCCTAAGGGTCCTACCTGTAATGACTATTGAGGATACAATGAGACATTTTACCTTTCCCCACTAGTCTTTCTTGTGCTGCTTTTATTACCTCCTGCAGCTGCCAGAGATGGCTGTTAAGTGAACCTAGAGAATTAAGGTATAGAAATATTTACAGATCAGATGATAGTATGTCTGGGCTTTTCTCCAAAATAATCCAGTGTTTTGTAGGGACTGAGGTATAGATGAAACATGATTGGCTGTTGATAATTGCTGAAACTTTACTGGATGATAGGTACATGGGAGTTTGTTATACTTTTATATTTTTGTATATGTTTGACATTTTTCTTAATTAGAAGTTAATAAAAGATCATTTACAGAATACCTACTCTGTATCAGACTCTATCTTAGCCTTTTATATACATTATTTTATTTTGTCCTCTTAACAACCCCGAAGGTCAGTTTTGTTATCCCTATTTTACTAATGTAGAAACTGAGGCTCTGGGAACTTAATTAAAAGATTAGCTACCATTGGGCACTTGCCATGTATAAGTCTCTACATTAGTTCACTTAATCCTCCCAACACCTCTATGAGGTAGAAAACAGGCCAATTTAATGACAGCCAATTCACTGAAAGCTAGTTAATCAAATGGTTATTTGCTGAATGTATCAAGTATACTGATTTACCAAAAACTTGTTTCTTTTTAACTATAAGGTTTATTTTAGCAGTTTATACTGGCTAATATTGTTTACCAAGTATAACAGGATTATTTAAGCTACTTTTGAGTTTTTCTACTTCCTTTATATATTTTAACAGCTTTTTTGAGGTATAATTTATATACCATACAGTTAACCTCTTTTAAGTGTACTCTTAAATGGCTTTTAATAAATTTAAAGAATGTGCAACCATCACCACAGTCCAATTTTAGAAAATTTTTATCACCCAAAAAGATACCTTATACCCACTTATAGTCAGTCCTGGTTCCCTTCCCCAGACTCAAGCAACTACTACTCTACTTTCTGTCTATATAGATTTGCCTTTTCTAGACATTTCATATAAATGGAGTCGTAACAATACGTGGTCTTTAGTGGCTGACTCCTTTCACTTAGCATAATATTTTTGAGGTTCATCCATGCTGTACTATGTGTCATTAACTGGTTCCTTTTTATTGCTGAATAGTATTCCATTGTACGGATACACCACATTTTGTTTATTTACTAGTTGATGGTCATTTAGATTGATTCAGCATTTTGGCTATTTTGAATGATGGTGCTATGAGCATTTGCCTACAAGTTTTTGTGTGGACATATGTCTTCATTTATCACTTAGGAGTAAAATGTTTTGTCAGGTAGCTCTATGTTTTACTTTTTAAGAAACTGCCAAAATTTATTCCAAAGTGTCTGTACCATTTTACATTCCCACCAGCAATTATGAGTTTCTCCTTATACTGGTTAACACTTTATTAATGTCTGTCTTTTTGATTATAGCCATTCTGATGGATGTAAAGTGGTATCTCATTGTGGTTTTAATTTGCATTTCCCTAATGACTAATGATGTTGAGTATCTTTTCATGTAATTATTGGCCTTTTGTATATCACCTTTTGAGAAATGTTTATTCACATCTTTTGCTTGTTTTTTTTTTGTAATCGGCTCGTTCGTCTTTATAATAGAGTTCTAAGAGTTATTTAAATATTCTGGATACAGATCCTTTCCTAGATAAATGATTTGCAAATATTTCTTCCCAGTCTGTGGCTTGTCTTTTCATTTTCTTAATAGTGTCTTTTGAAGCACAAATATTTTGAATTTTACTTAATCCCAGATCCTAAAGATATTTTCCTATATTTTATTCCAGAAGTTTTATAGTTTTAGCTTTTACAATTAGACCTATGATCCATTTTGAGTTAATTTTTGTATATGATGTGAGGTAAGAATCCACATTTATTTCTTTGCATGTGATATCCAGTTATTTTAGCATCATTTGTTGAGAAGACCATCTTTTCCTCACTGAATTGCCTTGGCACTTTTGTCAGAAATCAATTGACCATAAATTTAAGGGTTTATTTAGTTCTAGACTTTTAGTACAGTTCCATTGATATATATCTATCTTTATGGCAATATAAATTTTGAAGTGGAGTAGTCTAAGTCCTTCCAACTTTGTTCTTTTTCAAAATTGTTTCAGCCATGTTAAGTCCTTTGCCCATATACATTTTAGTATCAGCTTATTAATTTTTACAAAAAAAGCTAGTTGGATTTTGATGGGGATTGCATTGAATCCGTAGATCAATTTGGAGAGAATTGCCACCATAACAATATTGAGTGTGACTGTTTTTATGTTCTCCTCTTTCTAGCACCAAGAGGGTAAAGAGCTTAGCCAAGTCTCGGCGAGCCAAGATCGCAAAGAAGGCAGACAAGGCTAGGCTGGTGGCAGAACAGGTGATGGAGGATGAATTTGACTTGGATTCAGATGATGAACTGCAGATTGACGAAAGACTGGGAAAGGAGAAGGCGACCCTGATAATAAGACCAAGTGTGTACCTGTTCTTTCTCTTTCCTGCCTTGCCCATTTCACATTTGTTTTTGGTCCCCTTGATAGACTTCAGACCTTAGGCCTGAGCTTAGTGACATTCTGATTTACTAGCTCTATAGGCCTCCACGCAACCTTTACTCTAGAGATTTATTTATAAGCTAATTCCTAAGCTCCCTAAATTATTCATCTGTCATTACTTTCAGGAAAATTTTCTTTCCCCTGAGTGTTTGGCTCAGATGCTAATCTTAGCTTCATAAGTCATGATAAGTACATTCCATTGTTTCCTAGAATTTCCCCGAAAGCTGCCCCGTGCAAAGCCTTGCTCTGACCCCAACCGAGTTCGTGAACCAGGAGAAGTTGAGTTTGACATTGAGGTAGGAGCCTGTCCTGTGTTTAGTCTTCTGCTCATTCTGGTTACAGAGGCAGATGACAGATTGTTATTTTAGTTGGGGGGGGAAAGATATCATATGCACTCAAACCTAAGGAATTTATTAAGTGAAGGATTGTGTACTAAATGCTGCTGAGCATATGAATGGAATGTTATAATTTAGTTGAAATATTTTAAAATCCTTTAATACAGAGTAGAATAAAAGACTGTGATGTAGCAGAAAGAGTATCTGATTTAGAATATCTGATTGTGATCGTACACAAATTATTTAACTTCACTGAGCCTTAGTTTCTTTATCTATAAAATGAGAGTTATAATACCTACCTCACAAAGATGCTGTAGAAATTAAGATGAAAGAATGAATATGCTGCTTTGTACTTGGTCTGTACTTGGTGCTCAGAAGGTATTAGTATCAGGAGTGAGACTGTCAACCCTGTATTGGGGCCTTACCAGACCAACCCTGGGCAGCTGAGGTGATATCCTCTTTCCCCAACAGGAGGACTATACAACAGATGAGGATATGGTAGAAGGGGTCGAAGGCAAGCTTGGGAACGGGAGTGGAGCTGGTGGAATTCTTGATCTGCTTAAAGCCAGCAGGCAGGTGGGGGGACCTGACTATGCTGCCCTCACGTGAGTACTGGCTTTGTTTTCTCCTTTCTAGATGATCAAACAGCACATCCCTACCCCCTGCTCGAAGGGATAGGTCAGCCAATCAGCAGATATTTATTGAGCTATTTAAAGAGACAAAGAATTAGCCAGGACATTTGGGCTGAAAGAATAAGTAGACATGAAATCTGTCCTCGGGAACTTAAGATCTGACAGAGAGAGGCTGTATAGACATCAAGGGGAATGGGGTTCTTTGGAAGTTGGAAGAGAGGCTGGAAGAGACACGGAAGGACAACTGGGCCTTGTTTAAAATAAAAGAGGGAAATATGCAGCATAGATGAACAGGGAGGGAGGTACGCCCATCTTTTTGTCATCTTACCTGCTATCTGTGGAGACTTGAGGCAAGAAGGACTGGCCTTTTCATGAAAACAATCTTTGATACTATCTGGATCCTTCAGTTTGGTTTCTGGTTTTTCGTCTGGGATGGTTCTTTCCTCCTTCCTCCCATCCTACCTTGCCACCGTTGTCCCCTGTCCCTGACTATTTTGATGACTGGTTTCCTCTGACAACTAGAGAAACTCCCTCAGCATTTCTCCTCTGTCTCTTGCAGCGAGGCCCCTGCCTCTCCCAGCACTCAGGAGGCCATCCAGGGCATGCTGTGCATGGCCAACCTGCAGTCCTCATCATCCTCTCCGGCTACCTCTAGCCTGCAGGGTTGGTGGACCGGGGGGCAGGACCGAAGCAGTGGAAGCTCCAGCAGTGGGCTGGGCACAGTGTCTAGCAGTCCTGCTTCCCAACGCACCCCAGGGAAGCGGCCCATCAAGCGGCCAGCATACTGGAGAACTGAGAGCGAGGAGGAGGAGGAGAACGCCAGTCTGGATGAACAAGACAGCTTGGGAGCATGCTTCAAGGATGCAGAGTATAGTAAGAGCAGCTGAGCACTTGGGCCCAGACCAAAAGGACTCCCCTAGTCCCAGTCTCAATCCCAACACAGGACAGCCTGTAGTGAATAAAGGCTTGACCTTAAGCCTAATAGTTGGTTTCTCTGAGCCATATTTTCTTTATAAAATGGATATATCTCACAGGTAGATGTAAGAGTTAGAGATGATGCTTGTACAGAGCACCTGGCACAGTGTCTTGCTCATGAGTAGCCTTCAAAAATTGGTAGCTATTATAATTAGCTATCATTCACTTTTATTTGTTTGTTTGTTTGCTTGCTTGCTTGCTTGCTTTTGAGTCAAAAGGAAAATTTATTAGAAAAGGAGTAACACTCCATGGACAGAGTGTAGTCTCCCTCTCAGAGGCAGAGAGTGAGAAGGACAGTGAGAGAGGCAGTGAGAGAGAGAGAATAAAGGCACTGAGAGGGACAGTGACAGTAGAGAGAGACGAGGACAGTGAGAGACAGAGAAAAGGCACTGAGAGGGACCTGTCATTCACTTTCAGCATTGTCCTTCACTGCTGGTGACCTTTTTCCCTCTTGCCTATTTTACTTCTGTGTCATTCAGTTTATCCCTTGCAAAGTTATATAAATAATGACCTTTCAGTGCTCTTTTTGCATTTAAGAGATGACTCCTTTTTTTAAGCTAAGATTTATTGAGTACTACAGTGTATAAAGCACTTTTTGGTATAGTACAGCTGACTTCAATGTAGGCTTTTGCTTTAATACTATTTTTAAAATTTAATGGTATTGACCAAAGATTAGAGTAAGACAGAAAGCAAAAATTCCCTTTGACTAACACCCTTACCCCTCTGAGGAAGGTTACCCAAAAGTAACCTTTGTTATTAGTTTGATGTATACCTTTCATTTTCTTGTATTTACACCCATATATAGAGATAAATAGAGGTATAGTCTTGTTTAGTGTGTATGGTTCTACAACTTGCTTGGATATCTTTCAACATCAGTTCCTAGAGATCTACTTCATCAATACATTGAGATCTACCTGATGCATAGTAGTCTGTTGCATAGATGTGCCACCATATGTTTAGCCATTTCCTACTGATTAACATGTAGGTTGTTTCTAATTTTTTAGTGTTACTGACAGTGATACAGTGAAAATTATTTTAAATAACTTTTTGTGCCCATGTGCCAGCTAACATTTCTCTAGGATAGCTAAACCTGCTGGGTTGAAAGGTATGTACAAAATAAATATTAATAGTGCCAAATTCCCCTCCAAAAGGGCCAGTATATGAGTGATATATGAGAAATACTTGGTTCTCCACAGCCTTACCAGCAGTGGGTATTATCTGCCTTAGTTTTTGCCAATCCAGTGGCAGTCAGTGGTGCCTCAGTATGTTTTATGTTTATTGGCTTTTTAAAATTTCTTTTCTGTGAATTATCCATTCATTCTTTCACCCATTTTTCTATTCTGTTTGTTTTTGTTATTGATTTGTAGGTGTTCTTTGTATATTCTACACTTGCTGGAGTGTTTTTAATATATTCTAGAAATGTTGAAAAATATTTTTTTTAGTCTGTTGCTTGTATTTTAATTTTATTTATGGTATTTTTAGCATGTAGAATATTTCAGTTTTTACATAGTCATCTTGATCAGTTTTTTGTGTTTTATGTCATGTGTAAGAAGATTTTCTTATATTTTCACCTAAAACTTCTATAGAAGTTAAAATTTTAGCTCTTTTTGGAATCAAATTTTGTGAATTGTAGGAGGTAAGAATCTAACTTAATTTTTTTCCACATAGATAGTCATTTGCCCCAATACCATTTATTGACTAATTTATCATTATCCCCTCTGATCTGAAGTTCCACTTACTGAATTCCCATATATACCTGGATTTGTTTATCTGCTCTATATTTCCAGTTCTGTCCCTTAAAAGCTATGTGACCTTGAGCAAGCTAGTTAACCTCTCTGTGCCTCTCTGATAATAGTACCTACCACATAGGTTGTTGTGGGTTTAAAAATGAATTAATATACATAAAGCACTTAGAACATTGCCCAGCACATGGTAAGTGCTGTATGTGAGATACTATTATTATTATTATTATTATTATGCTCCATAAAATCAATTTGTCCATTCCTGTAGGTTAGTTACTATAGACCTTGTGTCTGGTAGGGCAAATCCCTTCTGCAGAACATGCTTTGGACCTGAGCAGAGCACAGATGCTCAGTAAGCCCATCATCGCTGGGCTGAGCTATGATCGGTCTTAGGAGTATGCCAAGTTGCCCAGTCTCCTACCCTACTATCTTCAGCAGACAATCACATCAGCATACAGCCAAGACATCCAGACCTGGTCTAACTAGTCCCCTCAGAACAAACAGTTCACTTAGCCTCTGCTTCCTATTACCCCTCCCCATCCCTGCTTTACCCAGCAGCACTAGAAAAGCAGTTTAACAGAGATACCGACCTACTTCTTATTTTTCCATAATTTCTAGGCTATTATTGAGCTTTTCCTATTGTAGATGAATTTTAGAATCAGCTTGTCAAATTTTATAAAAAATCCTAATAGGATTTTTTATTAGGATTTCATAGCATTTATAGATTAATTTATGGAGACTGACATCTTTCATCAGAGGCTTTTCTCCTGTAGTAGGGTATGCATTCCTGAAAAATTTCACATCCTGAAAATTTGTACACTAAAAAATAGAGCTTACAAGAAAAAGAGGGTAGAGACATACCCCTTAAAATCTGTGTGGCTTTGAAACCAAAATACTGACTCAGATAATGACAGTCCTAATACTAATCCTTGTTCAGTTAGAGCCCATTGACATTTGCACCCAGCATCAGTCAGTGGATCCCTTGTAGCCTGGGCTCAGGCATCCTTCTTCCAGATGTAGGTTCTTGAGGGTATTTGTTTAAGGTAGATACTAACTTCATCAAATTAAAATCCGATCCAGGACCTAGTCTTCAGCAATCTTTTTTAAACACAGGAGGAAGTATCTTCACAATTTCTTCATCTGCTCTCAGCCATCCTCCTTTCCCACCAGAGCTTAATTTTGTAGAAAACAGAACCACCATTTGCTCTTCCTCTGATGGGAGTCACTATTGCAGGATTTTCATCATTTATCTGTAGGTCTTCATATATATCTAAGGCTTTCTCAATAATTGTAAGAAAATTTAACAGCGCTTGGTTAAGAACAACTTGCCAGGGAAAATTGCTTTTGATCCAGTTCAACTTCTAGATGGCATTGATATTGTTCTGCTATTTACCTTTTATGTATGAACAGTCACAGAACAGACCATCTTGTCCAATCTTCAAACATGGTTTGTCTCTCCATTTATTCAGGTTTTTTTGTTTATCTCTTTTTTAGCTTATTCTTCAGTTTATTACTAGGTATTTTATAGTTTTGTTCCTATTGAAAGCGGCATCTTTTCATCTATTACAGTTTTCAATTGACTGTTGCTAGTATGCAGGAAAATAATTGATTTTTCCATATTGATCCCGTGTTGGATTGCCTTACTATATATACTCTTATTCGTTCTATTATTTTTTCAGTTAATTGTCTTGAGCTCTTGAGGGAAGTCATCTATGTCTCATATCTTAGTTTGTTAGGGCTTCCATGACAAAATACCACAGACTGGATGACTTAAGCAACAGAAATTTATTTTCTCATAGTTTTGGAGGCTGGAAGTCCAGGATCAAAGTGCTAGCCGGGTTGCTTTCTCCTGAGGCCTCTCTCCTTGGCTTGCAGATGACTGCTCTCTCAGTGCCTCTTCATGTGGTCATCCTTTTGTGCACATGGACCCCCGGTGTCCCTCTGTATATCTTAATCTCCTCTTCTTTTTTTTTTTTTCCTTTTTACCATGTTTCTTTAATTAGATTAATTATAATTTCTGTTTTAAAAGCGTATTAAAAAATTTTTTATTAAAGTATAGTTGGCATACAATAGTATATTAGTTTCAGGTGTACAACATAGTGATTCTTCATTTATATACCTTACTATGTGATCACCACACTAAATCTAGTAACCATCTATCACCATGCAAAGTTATTATAATAATACTGACTATATTTCCCATGCTGTACACTACATACCCGTGGTGTACTTATTTTATAACTGGAAATTTGCAGCTCTAATTCCTCCTTACCTTTTTCACCCATTCCCCTACATCCCTCCCTTCTGGCAACCACTAGTTTGTTCTCTATGTCTGTGAGTCTGTTTCTGTTTTGTTTGTTCTTTTAGATTCTACATGTAAGTGAAATCATACAGTATCTGTCTTTGATTTTATTTCACTTAATCTCTTCTTAAAAGGACACCATTCAGATTGGATTTGGGCCCACCCTAGTGGCCTCATTTTAACTTAATTACCTCTTTAAAAGTCTTTTCTCCAAATACAATCATTCCCAGGTACTGGGAGTTAAGAATTTAATATATGAATTTTGGGGGGACACAATTCAGCCTATAACAACCACTTTCTTGTATTCACACCTCTAGATTTGTCTAGTTTTTTTAATATGGCTTTATTGAAATAGACAATTAGTTGCTATTCAATGAGTTTTTTATTGTACAATTCAATGAGATTTTTATTCCATTATACTTGGCATACAATAATATACCAGTTTCAGTTGTATAGCATAGTGATCAGAGATCCACATAACTCGCAAAGCGATCACCCCACTAAATCTAGTACCCCTCTTGCCCCTTACATATTTATTACCTTATTAACCATCTTCCCCATGCTACACTCTATATCTCCATGTCTATTCTGCAACTATCCATTTGCACCTCTTAATCCCTTTGACTTTTTTTGCTGTCCCCCCAACCTCCCTCCCATCTAGTAACCCTCAAAATATTCTCTGTATCTCTAAATTTATTTCCACTTTTGTTGTTGTTGTTGTTGATTTTGTTCTCTAGATTTCACATGTACATGCAATCATGCAATATTTATCTTTCTCTATCCTACCCGTTTCATTCAGCACAATATTCTCTAGGTCCATCAAGGCAGTATCTTTTTCTATCCCCTTCCTTTTA